GGGGTTGGGGCAGGGCCGGGGTGGTTGGGCCAGGGGCGGGGGTCGGGTAGCCCCGCGACAGGGGTCCGGGGTTGAAACCCCCACCTCAGCTTGGGCCCCGGGGATCCCTGCGTAACAACCCTGGCCACGACGACTGTTCACACCCACACCACACTGGATCTCCCTGGATATCCCACGCACACTCACTCACTCACACGCTGTAGACTAACTCTATGCTATGGCGGCTATGGCCGTCGTCTACTCTGACTACTAGCGGCGATGGCTGCTCTATTTGCCTCGTAGCCCACTTCAACTTCGGGCATTTGCAGACCACCTCGCACAAGACACCTGGGCAGCGCTTCCGCATGGCTCAATCGCTGGATGTTGCCTCTTGATTTATACTTTTGTTGGTCACTGGTCTACCTCCTTCCACCAGGCCCATGGTGCATACAGTCCCGCATGGTACTTGCTGACTGGACAAAGTGAGACTGGGACTGGGTACCGCTGACTGAGGAAAGTTGGGCTACCCTCTTGCCCACTTGCCTCTGGTCTAACGTGAGCAACACTCAAAAGGCCACTTCCGAACCTTTCGGAAGTCTGTGGACTTGGCCTTTCGGGACTGCAGCTACGACCTTGACCTTTCAGAGTTGCAACAACTACGACCCCTACACAGCTATGACCTTTGCTCGACAGACCTGCAGTTCAAGACCCGACAACTACACAGACCTACGATAGACAACAGTCGGCTACCGAAACACAAGTCACGGGTTCAAAACACGACATGGGTCTACCTAGTACTGTACATGGGCGAGGTAAGGTCTAGGGATCGAGCCCTGGGATCTGCATCTGTTACCACAAAGGTGAAAACCGTTTCACTCCCGTCGGCCTAAGCTCGAGGTCCTCCGAGGATATTTCAATCCAAGGCAGGACCTTTACCTTTCCTATCTCTCTCATAGGTTCGAACTACATCAGGAGCGGTCTCTAGAAGTTTTGTCCGTGTGAACCACCGGTCGTCTTCTGGTTCTTGAAAAGAGAATCTAACTTTATATTGTTCATGTGGATGACCTCTACCTCCTGTTCTGAACACATCTTCACCTACTATGCGGTCAATGTCGTACCTTCCATACATGTCCGGAGGAATCATGGATCTCTGTCATGGGAACTATTGACTTGTGGTACAGGGCAAGAACTTTGACGCATGAAAAACTGGGTAGGTGTGGAGGTGTGCTGGAATCTCTATGGTGTAGGACGGTCCATCTTCTTTGCCCTTAACTTCTAGGACTGGCCACGGTCCTCTATACGCAGGCAATAGCTTCTGCGAGATGTTCTCCTCGGGAGCAAACTCCTTTGACTTGACCCAGACTAAGTCGCCTACTTGGAACTGTGATGGGCGACGATGTTTGTTGGCTTGTTCTATCATTCTTTGTCGGCCTTCTTGAGGTTCTCTGCAATGGTAGCTATCTCTTTCTCGTGTTGTATCGCGAACTCCCTTGTACCGAGCAATAGCCTCTGGATCTGATCACGGTTCAATCCCTAAAACAGTTTGCGCTATCTAAAGGACTTACGCAGTTCGTTGGGAGTGAGATAGATTGTTAAGTGCACGTTGTTATTGTAAGCGCTGGCTACCTTTGGGAGCATCTCATCCCAATTGACTTGATCAGGTCTAATATACATCTTGAGAACTTGCTGCAAGATTTTGTTCATCTGCTCAGTCTGACCGTTAGTCTCTAGATGATGGCCATATGACATCAACAAGACTCTCATCAACTCCTGCCAATTCTAACAAGTGAACCTGGTATCTCTATCACTAACTATCGACAACGGTAGACCATGCTCACTGACCCAATGATCAAAGAACTTGTCTATGACTAAGTATGTACGTGACTCAGAAGGCAAAGGAACAAAAACTGCATACTTACTAAATCTATCTATTATCACCATGAGTTGGCTCTTGCCATGCCTACTCCTGACCCCGAAGTCCATAAAGTTGATGGACACAGAATCTCCGGGACCTGCGGGAATAGGCAGGGGTCTACGAAGTCCAAGAGGGCCTCGCGTAGTTGTCTTATTTCTCTAACACACTATACAACTGAGTACGTCTTCTATGCAGTTGGCCTTCATACCAGGCCATGTATATGCGCGAACGAGGTTGGCTAAGGTCTTTTGTAAAACAAAGTGTCCCTCTGTGTTGTGGCATTCCCCTAAGATCAGACTTCGGATCTCCCGCCGGATATGTTAGTCTTCTCGAATAGCAACCCATCTATAGTACGGTAATCTGGTTCAAATTCTGGGGACTACTTAATGCTTTTGAGGAGGTCGCTATAGATAGGGTCATGCGCATACGCCTCTTTGACTTTTTGTTGCAGGTCTCTCCCTATATCCAGATAGTGTACTATCGCTCCAAAGTAATCAGCTCTTCTACTTAGAGCGTCCGCAACTACATTATACTTCCCTTTGACTGGCTTGAGCTCGAAGTCAAACTGGTCTATTTCTGCGGCCCACCTAGTAAGCTTAGGTGTCATCTTGGCCTACGTCTTCAGCCACCTCAATGTCTCCTGGTCTAAGTAAACTTTGAAGTGTCTCCCAAGCAAGTAGTGCTTCCAGTGATCTAACGCTTGCCTGAGATCGTAGAGTTCCCTCTCATAGGTGGATGTGCTACCTTCTCTGAAGGCATCGTAGCGGACATGAACTCTACAGGTCTATACCAATTGCAATCATCTTGTTGTAAAACAACACCTATATCATTCTGACTTGCATCAGTGGTGACAACAAAAGGTAAGGATGGATCGGCTACCTTGAGGACTAGGTACTCTATCACGGCCCGCTTTAGCTTCTTCAGGGCCGATATACAGTCTCTATTTCATTCCCAGATTGCGTCTTTCTTTAGCAATTTGCGAAGGGGTGCAGCGATGGTAGAGAAGTTCCTCAGGAACTTTCTATAATAGTTTGCCAACCCTAGGAACGACCGCAACTCTGTCAACGTGTGGGGAGTCGGCCAATCTCTAATCGCCTCTACCTCAGGTTTTATGCCATCTCCATCTAAGACGTGGCCCAAGTACAGAACTAGTGTCTTGCCCAACTTGCACTTCTTCGTGTTGATCTTGAAGTTAGCTTCCCTCAGCTTCTCCAAGACCTACCTTAGATGGCCCTCATGCTCCTGGAGGGTCTTACTAAACGCTAGAATATCATCTAGGTACACAACCACAAATCTATCTAACCACGACCTAAACAAATCATTCATACAACGCTGGAATGTGGTTGGCGCGTTGGTTAGTCCAAAGGGCATCACAATAAACTCATAGTCCTCATATCTAGTCCGAAACGTCGTCTTATACTGATCATCAGGGTGGACTTCTATCTGATGATAGCCTGACTTTAAATCTATCTTCGAGAAATATTTGCAGCCCTGCACCCGATCCAACAGATCCTCTATCCGGGGCAGTGGTTTTGAATTCTTCATTGTGACAACGTTAAGACCCCTATACTCTCTATGCACATTCTAAGCTCTCCCTCCTTGGGGACAAAAAGAACAGGTGCTCCAAATGAAGACGAACTGGGCCTAATCCAAACCTTCTCTAGGAGCTCGTCTAACTGCTTGCGCAGCTCCTCTAACTCCCTCAGGGACATCCTATACACGGCTCCCTTAGGAGTCTTACTGTCAAGCTCTATCTCAATGCGATGTTGGATCTGTTGCGGCACGACTCCTATAGGCAGCTGAGATAAGTCTGCGTACTTTCCCAGCAGCTTGGCAATGATCGGATTGGAGGGTTCATCTTCCTTAGGCTCAACGACAGGCCTAACGTAGGCTACAAAAACCTGTTCTTCTAATTGCTCCTTCTTTACTAATCGCACGAACGCGGGAACACTGAGACAACAACGTGCCAAGGAATTATCTACTCCTAACACATGGAACAGGCGAGCAGTCTTAACTTCACCTGATCGGACTAGGGAGCCTACACTCGTGCTCTCTCAAATGGAGTGTGGCCCCTGCTGCCTCTCCCCAGTCCATTCCTAGGACCATGTCAAATGGAAGGTTGCCTTTTACGAGGAGAGTCAGGGAATGGAGAACTCTCTTTACCTTCTCATCCTTCTCTAGGCAAAAGTACGTCTGGACTCCCTCTACATAATCCTCAACTCGCATAGTATGATTGTCTACGAGGATGCTGACTATAGGGTCTTCCAACTTTTGGACCTTCAGATTCAACTTCAACTTCTGCAACGCTTTTCTACTGATATAGCTATGAGTGGCCCCACTATCTATAAGGGCCCCTACTCGGCCTCTAAAAACTTCTACATCTACGAGAACTACTTGTCCTTTACCTTCTTTCTTCATCTTGGCCCAGGACGGCATCCTCTCTTTTAACTCTTCTGCCAGACCTGTGAGGGAAGCGCCTAGAGAGACTCTAACGCAAACAGTCTCTGGACAGCTATCTAGGCATTGGCCAGCAGCCTCTGTCATAGACACATGTGGGCGGTTGCCTTTTGCTTGCCGGGCTGCTCTATATTTGGGGCAAAATTTAATAATGTGATCTGGATCACCGCAGTAAATACATTGGTCCTGGTTTATTCTCATCTGCCATACTGTCTGTTCCAAGCCCAACTGTTCCCAGGGTCTGCCCTGTGGTAGAGCAGGGTGCCATTCACCCCTCCTGGGAGGTGATCGATTGGAGCGAGGACGGTTTTGCTGGGTACCTTGACCCCTACCTCCCTCTTGGCAGTTTCCTTTGCCGCCAATCCCCTAAGCGCCCTGTCCTCGACCACCACAAGCCCTGCCCCCTTGGCCCTGGCCTCTTTCTCTTCCTTGCGGCCTCCCTCCAGCCGCGACTATATTTGGGGCATAATTTAATAATGTGGCCGGGATTACCGCAGTAAATACATTGGTCCTGGTCTATTCTCTTCTTCCATACTGTCGGTTCCAAGCCTGGCTCTTCCCAGGGTCTGCCCTGTGGTAGAGCAGGGTGCCATTCACCCCTCATGGAAGATGATCATCGATTGGAGCGAGGACGATTTTGTGGGGGACCTTGACCCCTACCTCCCTCTTGGCGATTTCCTCTGTCGCCAACCCCCTAAGTGCCCTGTCCTTGACCACCAAAGGTCCGAGCCTCTTCCTCTTCCTTGCCGCCTCCCTCCAGTCGCGACAGGAACATAGGTCCTCCCCTGACCATTGCCACTGTCCCCCTCCTCGAGGCCCCACTCAATCTGGTTGTAGGGGACCTCCTCCATACCACCATCATCTAAAGTAAGTATCAGATGATCCTTGGCCCTGACTTGGCCAGAGATGGGACGCCCTTTCCATTTTTGCCCTTAGTCCAAATCCTTGTGACAGAAAGTAGATGATGGCATGGACTGGGCTTTGAATGCCACCACCTCCCTACTCATTGTATCGTAGGTCATGGTGCGTTGTTTACTCATTTCGAAGAAGTGTCTTTGCAAGGCAACGGGCATGACACAGTAGAACAGCTGGAATAATCGGGCCTCAATGACCCCATGGCCAGGAACAGCAACTAGCTCGTCCATCACTCCTTTGAGTGCCCTGGCACTCTTCCACTGGCGTGAGTGCATGGTTTGTAATTTCCCAGAGGCCTTAAGGCCCCAAGTGGCATCAGCAAATCTCTCACGAAGCAATCTGCAGAATTTAGGAAGGGGGGTGATCTTAGAGTAAGCCACCATATAATTATCACAATCTGCAGCGCGGGCGAGCGATCTGGTGAAGCTAGACGCTTCATCTTTGAGAGCGTGGAAAGCAATGAGGAGTTGTTCCTCAGGTGTGATCGTCTGCAGGTGGACGTACAAATTAACGTTTGCCTCCCAGTTATCGAAGTTCTTTTCCTTCTTCGCATTGTAGGAATCAGGAAACTTCACCTTAACTGGCTCTCTACGGGGGCGAGCTTTCTCCTTTGGAGCAGCAAGCTTTGCGCCTTCTATGGCACGTGTGCAGAATCGCTCTATATTCTCTATCCTCGCTTTCATCTCAGTACCAACGTGGATCATCATCTCGTGAGCGATTTGTCTAAATCCCAAACGTATGCATTGTAAAGCGATATCCTAGCCTCTCACGAACTGATATAGTTCCTCTTGGGCCTTGGCCAGGAGCTCTATGTTCCTAGACATAACATCCGTCTCGCCCAATATCTCTGCATGGCTTTCCATTTCTCTTCTTTGCTCACTTATCCCCCTCGACTCAATCTCCATCTTGCTTGCTACCTCCAGTCATTGCTTCTTCTCACTGGTGAGGTGCAACTTCCATTCAAATGTTTTTCTTCTTTCATTATCTGGCAACGTAGAGGATCTTCCTATGCAGACATGAATGTGGTGATGCTTGCCTTAGACCTGGAAAAGGCCTATGACAAAGTGGGCTGGTCTTTCGTGGAAGTCACACTCAAACATACGAAATTCAGGCTGCAATTCTTGAGGTGGTTGATCGCACTCTACACCCAAGCAACCGCAGCAATCATGGTCAATGGAAAAATCTCAACCACTTTCAGACTAACTCGATCCTTGAGACAAGGATGCCCACTTGCTCCACTCCTCTTTGTGTTACAAAAAGAAGTGCTCCACAATAACATTCAATCGAATCCAAAAATCAGAGGACTAACTGTGACAAATCGCCAATGTAAAGGAGGAGCACTAGCCGGCGACCTCCTCACAATGTGCTCTAACGCTACTAAAGATTTAACACAGCTCTGGTCCTTACTATTAACTTTCTCTGACGCATCTGAGGCTTTTGTGA